GCTCCACTCCTTACCACTCATGCTGATACCCCTCCTAACCATCACCGTCACTCTACTGGGGCAGGTAGGGAGGGAGGGCGGGAGGGAGGGAAGGAGCGAAGGCTCTGTCTGCAGGTGCTATGCCAGGACACGGAGTTCCACGCGGCGCTCCACGTAGCCTGTAGAGGCGAGTACGAAGCGTGCGATCTCCATTGACCCGCCCGCCGTGTCTTGTCAAGTGTGATAGCCCCTCACGATGGATGATATGACAGATATGATAGATTGATGGATAGGTCAGAGCCCTGCCAACTCCTCTGTCTGTGTCGGGCGAGACCAGTGTGTTAACATCGGGGTAGGCTTTTGCGACGGCCCCCCGCGAGCAATGCGCCCGAAATGTCCTCTCGGTCGCTCGAGGCTCCCTCGTGCGCCATTTCTCATCATCCCGCCCCCTCTATCTTCACACTCACGCCTCCACTATACATCCGGGTAGTTTCTTATCATGTACCCGATCGCCCAGCACGTCGACGTCGTCTCATTCGCCCCTACGGTCATGGCCTCCCTCTCCATTGCCATGGGGATCGACTACTCCCTATTCCAACTCACCAGGTGCGCAGACTCCCCCTCCCTCAACCCCTCTCTCATTAAAATCCAAGTTTTCATTCTTTTTTGCCGTTTTCTGCACCTCCCTTGTCTTCTCCTGCTCTGTCCATCCTTTCCATCTCGCACGACCGAGTTGCTCCCTCCCACGCTCCCTCCCTCTTCACCCCCTTCTCCCTTCCCCCCTTCCCCTCCCTCCCTTCCCCCAGGTTCATGGACGGGGTGGCGGCGGGGAAGGACCTGTTCAACGCCGTCTGCCTCATGACCGAGAGCGCCGGCTACATCATCCTCGTCAGCGGCTCCACCCTCTGCGTCTCATTCCTGGGTATACCCTCCCTTCCTACCTTCCACCTTCTCCTGCCTTTCCCTGAACATCAGCGTTTGCTGTCCACCCTCGTGGTCCTAATTCCTGACCCTCCCTCCCTCCCTTCCTCTCCTGCTACCTCCCCTCAGGCCTCGTCTTCCTCCCCATGGAGATCCTTCGGTCCTTGGGCCTCGCCGCCTCCATCACCATCCTGACGGCCCTCTCCGTCAATCTCACCCTCCTCCCTGCCCTCCTCCTCGTCCTAGGGCCCGCCCTCCTCGCGGCAGATGCCTGGATGAAACGGGGATGGGCAAGGGGGAAAGCGGCCCTGTGGGGAAGGAGGGGGAGGAGGAAGGGGAGGAGGAAGGGGGCGGGTAAAGGAGGTTGGGAAGCACCGCTCCTGGAAGGCGCGACGGACAAGGAAGAGAAGGAGCAACGCGTGTGGAAGAAGGAGGAGGCGATGGAGGAGAACAGCGAGGAAATGGACGATGGTGGCTACGACTGTGACGAGTCGGCGCCCCTGAAGAAAGGCTGTTGGCTCGGATTGGCCAGGTTAGGGGAAGGGAGGGAGGGGACGGAGAGGGAAGTCGATGGAAGCATCGCGTGCTCGCAGTGTGTCCGAGGACGTAGCCCCAGTGCCGGTCAATGCCGCTCTTACTCTTTCCTTTCCCCTCCTACCAAAGGTTCATCTCCCACAAACCCTACGGCCTTGGTGCCCTCCTCCTCCTTCTCGCCCTGGCTCTTCCCGTTGCGGTGCAACTTAAGGACATGGAAACAAGCGGTAGGAGGGCGGAAAAGAAAGAGATAGAGCGCGCTTGTGGTGGATTTAAGCCTTATGATGTTAAGGGCACATATAGTAATGGTCGTCAAATCCGACTGCTTGTTCATCTTCCCTCGGCCCCTCCCTCTTTCCCTCCCTCCCCGCCCCCTTCCAATCTCAGTTGAATTCGACCTCATGCTCCCCTTTGGCTCGGGCTCCTACAACACGCTCGAAACGATTTCCTCCAACTACGGAGGGGCGGGCGTCGTCTTCCCCTACAAAGTCATTTTTATTGACAGGTCCTCACTCTGCCTTCCTCCTTTCCTCCCGTCCTCCCTTTCTCCCTCCATATTTCTCTATTCTCGGATCCTTTGAAAGGAAGCACACGTCGATCAGAATCTTGTGGTCTTCTTATTCCTTCATCCTGACATTGTCCCCTTGTCGCTTTCTTTCCCCTTCCTCGTTCCTTCACGATGCACCCTCTTCTCAGTGAGGATATCTTCACTCCTCAAAGCTACGCCGCCATGAACCATGTCCTCGCATCCCTGGTAGAAAGCGCGCCGCCGCTTGAGCTAATGGACGTGACTGGGATCATGGTCTTGGGGGGGCAGGTAGGCAAGAAGGGAGGGAGGGAGGGAGGGAAAGAGGGAGGGTCGGAGCGGCGCCGCGACGCCTTGAACTGGTCCATCCGCTCGTTTATAGACTCAAACGATGAGAAACAATGACCATGCGCTCCTGCTTGAGGAGTGTATCGTTTGAAAAAGATCATGCGCGTCCTGCTTCAGAGGTGTATGGTTTGAAAATTGGCTTGTGAACGGATCCATTCCGCGCCACTCTGCCGGCCATCTAATGGAGAAGGGTCGCCGGAGCGCCCACCTATCTCCCGCTCCATAGATTGCTCTGGTACGCGGTAAACTAATGGAGAACGCGTTTCATCTATCCTCTGGCTCGTCCACCCCTTCTTAGGAAGTATCTTACGCGGAGATGACTGCGGCCTTGAACGCCACCGTGCCCACAACCAGGCAGTTCACGCTGCAGGTGAGAAGAGAGATCTTGAGCCCAAGGAATGGTGGACCGAAGACGGAACAGGAGGAAAAGAGAGGGAAACAGGCGACGCAGAGCTAGTTGATATATCGCTACGCTCTGATGTCTTAGCTGAAGTAGCTTACGACTGTAACCCCCGCCCTCCTTCTCTCTAACAGACACTACGTGACACCCTGGTATCGTCCAATGGCAAGGCCACCTACGCCACACTGACCCTGACCATCGACCCTTACTCGTCCGAGGGGCAGGTACCCCTTCCTTCTTCCTTTCTTTTTTTCTCTTTCCTTCCCTCCCTTCCCATTTCCCGCTTTCTTTTCTTTTTTGGGATCTAGACGGGTGGAATGATCTGCCTGTTCGCGCGGAACAACCTCTCAATCGCAAGATGCTTTCTCAAGTGTCTCCTCCTTTTCTTCCCACCCCCACCTCCCTTCTGTCTTCGCATAGGCCTGGATCGACACGGTTCGCGACATATTGAAGGGATCTGAGTCCTCCTCAGGCCTCACACTCCATCTGGACGGTCCTGCCGCCGTGATCCACGACGCGGTAAGGAAGGAGGGAGGAAAAAAAGCAGAGCTCGTGGGGGAGAGGGACGTCACCGATGGCAAGCAGCGAAGCATCGAGAGAGCACAAAGCGCCGCTTTTCCTCATT